TGCAGAGGGACAGAGCCAGGCTCTGCCAGCGGTGGCCAGGGACAGGACAGGGGGCTGTGGGCACACACTGCCCACAGGAGGGTCCCTGTGAACACCAGGGAACACGTTCTGCTGGGGGGGTCACCAGCTGCTGACACAGGTTGTCCAGGGGTGTTGTGGAGTCTCCATCTTTGAGGATATCCAGCATTTTTCTGTCTACAGTCATGGGCAGCTGGCTCTGTGTGACCCTGCTGAGCAGGGAGTTGGACCAGACAGCCTCCAGAAGTTTCTTCTCACCTCCACCACTCTGTGATTCTGAGACACGGAGATCAAGGTCCTTGGGAGATGCAGGGCTGGGCTGAGCCCTCTGCAGGGGTGTGACCTGTGCACAAATGCAGCTACATTTGGCATCAAACAGCACTGTGTGATCACATCTCCTTTGCTGTAAGAATGTAAAATGGCTTAATAATTCTTCTTCTGCTGTTTTGGATTAATTTCTATCTTTATGCTGTGTGTTTTCTTTGCTTGCTTCCTCCTTTCACCTTCCCAGCTGCCTCCTCAGAGCAAACTTCCGTGACTCTTATTGTTCTGCTTGTTTTCATTCTCCTTCTTGGGTAAATGTTGTAATTTTTTTTTTAAGTGTAGTTTCCTAAAGCTCTGCAAAACGCTCTTTCCCTGCTGCATTTTAAAGTATTAGTTGAAAAAGAAAGGACAAGGAGCCTTAATTCAGGTGCATATCTTCCTTTATCTGCTTTTCTTTTAAAAAATGACTAAAGACACTGATAAATAATGCTAATTTTTTGCTGCCATCTGTGAATGCAGGACCAAGCTGTTTCAGAGCAGCATTTTTAGTGCTTTATCTGTTCAGGGTGGGGAAGGAAAAAGGCTCTTTGCTTTAGCAGCAATAACCTATCTCCCACAAGTTGTAGTCTGTGCTCCCATCTACCACTAAAACCTAAAGCAAACAAAGATTCGTGCAGAGACAGGAAACCTTTTGGGTGTAATTACCGGGAGGTCTTTGCTTTCACGATTTTTGGGTTTACCCAGAAAGGCAGCAGAGCAGGGCTGCGGTTCACTGGGGTGGATTTATGATGAGCTCTCGCTCCTTCTCCAAACGTGGATGTTTTTGGCAGCTCTGGGAGTTTGAAACACCCTCTGCCAGAGTCTGCTGGCCACGCTGAGTGAGAATGTCCTGCAGAGGGAAGGGGCCGGTGCATGGAGGCGCAGCTGAGCTACGCCCTGACGACAGCCCTGCCTCCAGGCTCCTTTATTTTGGCCTCGAGCCTTAGTTTACATAATCCTGCCTGATCCCTCATCTTCTGCATGGATCAGCCTTAGAAGACCCTCCAGTTTGACCAGATCAACTGGGAAGCAGGTCTCTCCTACCATCTGAGCCAAGAAGTGCTGGTGTTGGTGGAATCAGGTGGCTTTGGCTGTATCAGAAGACCTCACCTGTTCCAGGACTTGATTTTGGGGCTCCTTTGGAGGCTGAAAAAAAAATAAATCAAGCCTTGAACATGGTCTGGAGAGCTGTGGAACAGGTCTGGCTCCTGGAGCCTGTGTATTGAATAGGTGCAACCCTTCATGGGAGAAGTCTCACCTGTGGAGTCCGTGTAGCTTTTTCTCATGTTTTTATCTTTGGGTTGTGTGAGTTTCCCAAACCAGAACTGGACTGTGATTTAGGATCAGTTTCCCAAACCAGAACTGGACTGTGATTTAGGATCAGTTTCCCAAACCAGAACTGGACTGTGATTTAGGATCAGTTTCCCAAACCAGAACTGGACTGTGATTTAGGATCAGTTTCCCAAACCAGAATTGGACTGTGATTTAGGATCAAGTCTTTAGGGAAGCTTGTCAAGGCGATGTGTAATAGCATAATAAAACCCTAACTGCTTCACTTTAATGTGTCAAATGACTCATTTACAGTGTCATCTGGGAGAGATGAGGCTCTATGAGATAAGTAAGACTTGCATGGGGAGGGAATATTGAGTAATGGACCCACAGCTATAATTGCAGGAGGAATAGATCTTCCATTTCAGATCTGAGGAAGTGGTTTATCTGCCCAGTCTGTAAGTGAATGATTCTTCTCTCAACTTCCTCCACATATTCCCCACTTCCTCTGGGTAATATTTCTGTTATTTATAACTGCTGCATTGAATCCTAGAGGCAGATGCTGCCTGCATTTCTGTATTATATAGAAGTTGAGGTCCAACAGGTCGGTGGATAGTCCTGACCTTCTGGGAGCAAAGAATTTATATGGAAGCAGGGTAAACATTTATGTCCCTATAACTAACCCCCTTTTCTCTGTATTTATCATGTCTGAATATAGAGCAGCCCTGTCCATCTCTTCCCATCCCACAGGAAGCCAGGGAAGTGGCAGACAGACATACAAAGGATTATTATATTTGATCAGGCTTGGAAATAGGCTAGAGATAAAGCCCTTGGTGTTTACTGGACCATTAAACATTTATTATCATCTCTCCAGCGTGCTGGTGGTGCTGTAAATAACAGCTGTGACAAAAGAGTGGGGTCAGCAGTTGCCTTTTGCACTGATGTTTGTGAATGCAGAAGCAGGTCCTGTGATTTTTAACAGCTCGGTTGGGGGGAGCATCTGCCCAGATGCCGTGGAGAAAAGGGGCAGATGAGCCAGCAGGCCAGAGCTCCTCTATCACAAGGGAACGCTGAAATCTTAGGAAGTGGGAGAATTTAAACAACAATGAAAAAAAGATTAGGGCCAGAGTTAGGAGTTAATTTATCCCTGCCCTTCCTAACAAAAATACTTAATGCGCTTGGATCGGAACAGCTTTTGGATCTGGATTTAATTAGGTGGAAGGAGGTTTGGGCCTCTCTCCCCCAGCTCAGCCACGCTCCATGAGGCATTTCCATCATCAGACTTTTATTTCCCTTTCCCTCCCTTCCCAGGTTTTTGCAGGGAGAGGAGAAGCGTCGCCGCAGGGCTGGAACTCGGCTCACGGGGCCTGAGCTGCAGCACCTGGTCGGATGATGGGGCTTTTGAAAGGGGGAATATGAAGGGATTACTCTATTGCTGGGAGGCCACAGCCTGGTGATTCCTACTGCAGGCAATCCCTCTGAAGTCAATGAGATTGGAAAGCGTGTAAATCAGTATGGAATTCAGCATTTTCCTGGAAAAGTGTGGTGGGGGTATTTGTTTTACTTGCATAGAAATTATTTCTAATAAGGCTCCATAGACACGACTGATCCTTCTCATCACACTCCTTCCAGTCCCAGAGTCGGTCTCGCTGCCCTCTCATTTTTCAATAATTTTGCAAAAAAAAGCTTCCTGTGTGGGAATTCTCTGTGGTTGTGAAGCGTTGCTGGGAATGACTCAGGCGGGAGCGAGTCCTCGTGCGCTCAGGACCTGCGGTGTGAGCGGAGAAAGGAGACAGGCTTGTTTTCACACTCTCTCATTTTGTGTCTCTGGCATGTTTCTGTTCCACCATTCAGATGTCACCGGGCTGAGGGATAATTAAAGGGAGCCTGATGCTGCAGAGCCGGATTGGGAATCCACATTGCCCTGAGCAGGCTGGGTTATTGTTGGGGAATCCGAAGCGGTGGAGTGGGTGTCCAGGGAGCACTGCCACACCACCAGGGAGAAAAGATGCTCTGCTGCTCCTTCCCTGTGCCTGCAGGATGTGCCTCCTTTCTCCAACTTAAAATAAATCCATAGAAACACAGAATGGTTTGGGTTGGAAAGGACCTTCAAGAGCGTTTAGTTCCAAGATGAGTGGCAGGGACACCTTCCACTAAACCAGATTGCTCCAATCCCCATCCAGCCTGATCTTGGACATTTCCAGGATGCTGGATATAAGGGCAGTGCCTATCCCCTTCACCAAATTGTTTAAGGGATACCTGGAAGCTGCTGTTGGAGCTCTTGGGCATCGGTTCTGCTGCTGCCTTTGCTGTGGGTGGCTGCTTGGGTGCTCATTCTGTGTGAGCCTTTAATGCCCTAATAAAGCTTTAGAGCAAAGAGCATCAGCTTTTCTCTTGCTCCACTGAGAAGAGCATTTAATTTTGCCAGATGTTGCCACAGCACAGGCAATTTCAGCTGTTTTAGACTCACCTTCCCTTAAAAAATGCACCTTGCCTGTTTGTGCTTTGCGCAGCATGTGGAAGATGCTTCCAGCTTGAGTTGGAAATGAGATTTAAAACTGGAGGAGTCCTACAGAAAGTAAGTGAGGAGCCAAATATATACAACTGAATAACTGAGGAGAGAACCTGGTCCCATGAAGCTGGTTGCCAAGGGAGTAATTCACTTGTCTCTCCCCCAGCCTGATGGAATATTGTTTTCCTCTCCTCCTTGCCAGCATACCCACAGCTCCAGAGGAGCCACTCTCACTCCTGTAGATGCTTTAACTGATACATTCCTAATTCCACCTTGGGGCTGTTTTCATGAGCAGAGGAGCCTTTGAAGGCACCTTCCTCTGTTCCAGGCCTCCAGAAGGGTTTGTGCTGTCCAGAGGTTTGTCCTCTCTTCCCACTGGTGCTGCCTGGCCTGATGAGTACCTGGCTTCTGCCCACAAACTTGCAATTTCCTCCCCAAAAAATAAGGGCGTTTTTAAGGCAGCAGTCTAGATTTAAATGTAAAATCCAGCACAAAAGATCTTTCCAGCTTCAGGCCAAGCGGTGTTTGATCTTTTTTGTCCTCTCTGCAGAACAGAACAATGTAAGACTAATTTTTTGTTGTTGTCCATTAGTTGCTGGTGTATTAACAAGCTGTGTAAACTTGGGTTATTCCCTGAAATATGAGCTGTGCTCTTCAGTCTTCTCCTTGACCATCTCCATGTCTTCTGCAAGGTGGTTTTTCTCCACCTGAGCTTGGAATACTTGGATAAACTTACTTTATATGGAGACTCCATTAGTGGCTGGTACAATCCCAGTCATCCACAACAGAACCCAAGCATTTGGGGCAGAAAAGGGCTGTTTGTTTAACGTGGCTGATCCGTGTGAAGGGACTCACTCATTTTGGCACAAGCCACTCACTGGGTGTTCCTCTCTTCCAGGGTGTATTGAGAATAATCATCAGCCTTAACAAGGATTGATTGTGTGCTCCTCATCCTCATCCTCCTGGTTTGGTATTAAGCGGAAAAAGCTTTGGCCGTCGCGTTGGGGAGGCGAAGAGGTGGAAGAACGTCCCTTTCAAGGTACAGTAGAGGCATGGATGAGGTGTTTGGGGCATGGAGCTGGTGCTGGTGTAGCTTTTGGAGGTTCCAGGGTGTAGAGCTTCCTCATGGATTGACATTCCTCGATCCTACATGGAGAAATCTGCACTCTGTCGTTCCCTTCTTCAGTCCTAATGAGAGCAGTCTTCTTAGACCAGAGGTGCTGGCTTTGTTCTGGCGCTAACTTGGAAAAATCCAGTGTTTTCTCTTCATTTACTTTAAGGAATCTTTCATTTTTGATACTTTTGGGTTGTGTCAAGAGTAGAGTTCGTGCATTAATATTTTGAAGATAATTTTTCTTAAGCTTCTTTTTCTCATTAGACTAAAGTATATTGAATTAGCATGAGACTGTAATATATTCTTAACTTGGTGCAGATGGGCACAGAGTTCTTGCATGAGTGATTTGTAAAGGAGGGGGAAAGAAAAATCCCTTTTTCCTTTTGAGGAAAGGAAGGCTGTGGAGTAAGAAGGAAGGTTCCAGATTAAGAAGCGTTACTCAGGACATTGGTGAATTAAAACCCAATCTCATCCATCAGGGAGAGTTTGTGGGAAGTTTTTCTGGTCAAAGTTCTTCCCATGGTCTGACCTGTGGAAAAGATTGAGGAATGCTTTTAAAAATTAAAAATAAAAACCCTACTGTAAGATTTCTTGTTGGGTGTTTCAAAGGACTGAGTTCCAACCCAAGTGGGTTCAGTGCTGGGATGGAGTAGCAAAGGGAGATGTGCGTGTGAAATCTGGGGTTCTGTACAAAAAAAGGTCTTTTTCTAAAGTATTTCTTGTTACTGTAGCTTTCACAGGTTCACCCTGTGTGGAGAAGTAGTTTGTATTTGTGGTTTGATATTTCCTTAAAGCCTCCACACAAGGTCCTGCTGACACTGCCCGCTTCACAAACATCACCAATTTATGGTTTCGTATAAAAATTCTTTGAACTCATTGCAAATCTGATTTGATACCTCAGTGCCAAAATGAAGCCAATCCTAACTTTAGGGTTGACTAAATCCTTCCCTCGGAATCTGTGTGCTATTTAGCAGTGAGTTTCAGATCTGTTTGTGTGTGATCCTCTCTGTACTTAAGTGAATTTCATGTTGTGTTTTGCTACTTGTCTTTTTAAGTTGGTTTGTTTTGGGTTTTTTTTTCCCCTCACTTTTTGATTTGGGGAAAACTCCTGTTGAGGTCAACAGCTGAATGAATGCCAGTAATTAAGGTTGTCCTGTGCAGGGCCAGGAGTTGGGTTTGGGTGATCCTTGTGGGTCCCTTCCAACGTAGGGTATTCCATGATTATAATTTACTGAGAAGTGGCCAGCTGTCCTAGGAGAAAGAGTTTGTCTTTGGTCCCTGCTTTGTCCACAGCTGATCCCAGAAAAGGATTAAATTCAATGAGACTGAAGTCTCAGAAGTAATTAATGTATGATGCTCAGCATAAATATTAATAGATTAAATTCCATTTATTTTTAAGTTCTTGCTAGTATAAGAAAAGGATTTTTTAGAGAAGCAAGAGCTTGGATGTGCCTGTCAGGGTTTTTGAGCTGTTTGGGGTTGGAATTCAGTGTCCAGCTGGAATCCTGAAGCTGCTGGGATAGGCAGGATGTGCCTGGAGCCATGTGAGGAGGAGTGGCCATGGACTGACCACTGTGGCCACTGCTGTGACTGGCCAGGTGAAATGGTCCCAACAGAATTGGTTTGTCTTGCATGATGAAGCCCCACGTGGATGTGACTCTGTTGGCTGAAGTGAAATAGTCCCACAGCACCTTCCTTTGAAAATTTGGATTAAAACAGCAGCTCATTAAACAGAGTCCTTTTGGAATTATACAGCAAAGTCCACACTGAGGTCATGGGACTTGTTCAGCTGCCTCAGGTAGTGTGGGATTCTAGGTGGGATTCAGAGATGGAGTGTCAGGGGTGTCCATCATTCCCAGAGCCTCTTGACTCCTGTGGGCTACTGGAAAGACATTTTGGGCTGAGTGGTTTTTCTCTCTCTAAAGCAGGGGTTATGAAACAGCTGATGGGAGCTGGAAGGGCTTGTGCAGCCATTTCTGCTTGTTTCATTATCCATCACTTCCTGATTGGTGTCACAGGGCCACAGCATTCAGATTCAGATTATGTGGGGGAAAAGTGATGCATGAAGCCTCTACAAAGCTGCCCACTCAGATTTCTGGGCTTTGTTTGCACGGGTCACATTCACTTGTCACAAGTTACTGTCTTCATTTTGTCAGCTATTTCAGCAATCTTCACACATTTATTCCAGCTCAGGCATAGTAGTAGTAATGCTGGCAGAGCAGGGAGCCTTTGTTTGCAGAGTACAGGTGAGAAGACTTCTGAATTTAGATCTGAAATGTTGATTATATCCTGAAAGGTTCTGGTGCAATTTGAAACCTTGGGATCCTGGACATCAGAGTGTTCCCAGGTGTGGTGGCACCTCTGAGTAGAAGTCATGGTGGTCTCAAATCAAAATTGGCTTAAAATGCATTACTGGAGGAGAGGAAGGAGGATGAGAGATAGAAACAGATCCACTACCAAACAGGAGCTCTCTGTCCCAGAGGGTATGAGTGGGAGCTGTGGAATATTTGGTTGGAAAGGTTCTTCAAAGCTCATCTCATTCCACCCTCTTCCATGAGCAGGGACACCTTCCACCATCCCAGGTGCTCCAAGCCCCTTGGCCTTGGACACTTGCAGGGATCCAGGGGCAGCCACAGCTGCTCTGGGCACCCTGTGCCAGGGCCTCACCACTCTCATAGTCAAGAAATTCCTTCTAAAATCTGGGTTCACACAGATTTTTCCATCATAATTATTTTCATGATCCCAGCAGGTTTACAGGAAAAGTAGCGGGGAATCGTTCCTGATGCCGTGTAAAACCTGGAATGGGAATGTGGGCAGGATCATCCTCTCCAGGTCCTTAGACCACCAGCCCTGCCTTAGGCTCACAGAAATAGTTTTGTTTAGGAAAATCAAGGGCCTTGTTCAGAAATGCTGGAATTTCTGTTGAAATTCAGCTTTCAAAACCCGCAGAGAAGCCACCTCTGCTCCCAGCAGCAGGTCGGAAGCTGGGTTTTTTGGGATTGCTGCCAAGAAACATTGCTTGGAAACCCTTCTGTGTGCAGTGTGAACAGCAGGACAGGAGGTCTGGGTTTGAACTCTGGATGATAAAACCAGGGAGGTTTTGGCAGGGCTGTGTTCAGATGCCTCATTCTTGGCCTTTCTCCTTGGGGTGTACGGGCAAACCCCTGCCTGGGCTGGCTCCGAAACTTCCATCTGACTTTGTAGCAAAGCTGAATTTTCCACTGACTAGGTTTTCAGATTGAAACAGCTCTCTAATTTTTTGGATGGATTTCTCCAACCCATTGGCTACACCCAATCTGTATTTTTGAATGAAACTAGCGGTGAACATTTGCTGCAGGGGCAAGAATTTTCATAAATTCTTGGAATTGATAAATTCATGGAATGGCCTGGATTGGAAGGGACCTTAGACACCATCTGCTTCCAACACAGGGACATTCTGCACTAGATGAGGTTGCTCCAAGCCCCATCCAGTCTGGGAATTCCCTGAAATCACCCCTTCATTTTATGATTCTTTGAAAATGAATGAAGAGGTAGCTTGGAGTATCAATTACTCTTTAACCCAGCTCAAACTTTACCCTTTTTTTTCTGTACAGGTTCCCCATTGCTCTCTCTGAATCCCTTCTTTCTATTTTTTTGGGGGAAACTATAAGATTTATATGGAGAAGGAAGGAAAATCCTTTTTTTTATTGCAAGGGCCAGGTCAGCATCTTTTTTTAAAATCCCTGTGAGAGCAATTTGTCAGAAAACCTTGTGGGAAGCACAGAGCTTATCACCAGCAGGAACAGAAATCTTTTTATCAGTGACTTTACAGGATAAGAAGGAGAATTTCCCAAAGGATGGGCTTCTTCCCTAAGTTTCATTCTCCGAGGAGGCCCTGAGAAAAGCAGATCCACTGGGAAGTCGATGGCTCCAGACAAGTAGGTGCATGCACTGGTGTGCATTCTCACCTGTAGGTACACAGAGAGCTTTCCCAAATTGCCCAGAACCTGAGAAAATGGAGATAAAATCAAAAAGGCAATTGCAGTTAATTACGCTTTCAAGGCAACTGGAGATTGGTTGGAATCCTGTGGGATTTCTGAGGCCTCCCAGTGCAATTTCAGGTTTAGTGTGGGCAGGAAGGTTTGGTGTCTGTGGCTGGAGATGTCTCAGTTGTGACTGTCACCTCTGGCTGTTGGCACAGATGTCACCACCAAAACACAGGTGGTGTCTCATGGCAAATTCTTCATAGAAATTTTGAGTTTCAATTAAAAAGAAATAAATAAAAAGCATTTTGTGCGTGACTGAACTTTGTTGTTCTTTTTCCACCTACATGCTTCCCCATTTCTTCCCATCCCCACCAAAACCTGGCCTGAATTTTGTGGTTTGGGTGATGGGAGAAAGCCACATTCCAAGAAATCTTGGATATCTCTTTGTTTTGTAGAGGAATCAAGATGTGACCAAAGAAGTGCCAGATGTGGGATGTTCAGGGGGTTGCAGGTGAGTTGGTGTGGAGTAACAGGTGTAGAAATCCATCATGACAATTAAATACCTTATTTTTCTATGATGTGAGCTTGGAAAATTAAAGGAAGAGCCTAACTTTTAACTGCAGAAGAAGCAAAGTCTTGAGAGATTCAACAGTGGGAGTCACAAAATACATAGAGCTGTATGGGACAGTATTTCTTGCTGTGCCCTTCTGATCCTGCGTGAATTTAGGTCCAAAAATGCCCTGCTAATTTTTATTACCTGAAATTGCAGTTTTTGGGAGGTCCATGTGAGTATTTGTTCAGGTCTAGACTTCACCAGTAGCAGAAACACGTGATGTTTTTAAAAAGATAACACAGACTTGTTTTTATTCCCTTAAGATGGCAAACCTCTCTTCAAAGAGTCATGAATTAAACAAGACAGTGCCTCACAGCGGGTATTAAGGAAAAAATAATAATTAAAAA